AAGGCTGCCGTTAAGAGGGTGAGTCAAGAGGTGCTGCTGCATGCTGGAAACCCACTCAGTCGGTTTCGGGTTCAACAGGGCTAGTGGAGCAGCTGCCCACGTGCACGGTAATTATCTCAAAAACATGGTCATATGAAAAAAGCCTTGGTCAATATAGACTTTGCCAATGCATTTCAACTCAGTCAGAAGGGATGCTGCCTCTCCAGCAGTTTATAGAAACTTATTCCCTTCCCTTTATCCCTTCATAGAATCGTGTTATAGTGTGACTCAAAACTATTGTTTTGGGGACCATGAAAATGACTGTGTGAGGGCGAGCACAGGGGGACCCTCTCGCCCCTTTCTATTTTGTTTGGTCATCAAGGGAATTCACGGAGGCCACTCTCCAGCGAGCTCAATATCTGGTTCCTGGACGAAGGTACCTGGCAGGCACACAAGAGTCTCTCCTGGAGCGACATCAGTAAATTAAAGGACATGGGAGAAAAGCTGGGCCTTTCTTTAAACCACCAAATGTGAAATAGTTTCTCCAATAACAGTTGATACAGAATATTAGTACCATTTTACCAGGAGCACGAAGCATTGATCAGCCAATTAGCACTTCTCCTCGGTGCTCCTCTTGGGTCCAATGCACGATTGGTCCTAGGAAAAAAAGTCGCACGACCCTCCGGACGATGGAATGTCATGATGAAAGACCTTGACACCACGATGCCTTTTACCTACTTCACCAAAGGGGTGCCTGTCAACGCCAAAACTTATCTTTTACTGCGATGCTCCCCAGCCTTTCAGCAGTCAAAAAACTCAAGTGAATATGACTCTTCCTGAAGGAGAAGGGGGACCATGCTAGCGACGTGTATTGAATCTTTCCTTGACGATGGACAGTGGTTGCAGCCTCACTTCCGGTCATGCTTGAGGGCTAGGATTACGCAGATCCTCCCAGATTGCTCTACCAGCTTTCCTATCCTTTACCATGCATCAAACGAGATGATAAGACAATTTTTCTGCAACCCCTCAGTGACACAGCGAATAGAAGACCCTAGCTATGTCAGTCATCACCGAATGGGAGGATCTTGCAGCACCAGCACGCAAACCCTAGTGCAGCACTGGCTCACAAACAGTCAAGCTGGGGATAGCCAATTGCTGAAAAACAGGTGCTTGCCAACATGCTCAGGGCTTGCTAATCAGATAGGGAGATTGCCCGTCTCCAGGCGTGAGTGACCTCACTCCGGGGGACTTCCTCCAAACAGTTCCCATATCGGGCAATGGTAGAACGCGAACTCGACCCTAAGACCCTCGTATTGCAGTGGCTCTGCGCCTTGCTGCCCCAATTCAACAGAATATATGTGTATTTGCGGCGAAGTGCAAGAAGACCATACGGTCACATGGTCTTAAAATGTTCCAAAACCAAGGGCTGGCATGCAAGACACAACGGGGTCAACGACATCATTAAGAGAACCCATGCTACAGCTGGGTGCCTGCCGAAGAGGGAGCCACGTATTGCAGCAAAACAATACCCACAACCGCAAACCGCCCGACGGGATCAACCATCTATCCTGGAAGAAATGGCATAGCTTTAGCATGGGATATACCAGTGTGTCCACAATGGCTGGCACCTATATCCATACAGTGTGGGGCGTCAGGGAGGAGCTGCTGCCACAGGGAGGAGTAAGCTCAGCAAGTACAGGGGAATTAGCCAACAGTATCAATTTGTCCCAGTGGGACGGGGGACCTTGGGATCATGGGGAGAAAAAATTGCCAACACGGTTTCCTTAAAGAAATTGGGTTCCAGCTCATCGACACCCAGGTCCCAAGGGCAGCCACTTTCATGTTCCAGGCCTCAGCGTCGCCATCCGAGAGGAAATGCTTGCTGCATCTTGGCTCACGTCAGCCTCGGAGGAGCTGGAGGAAATTCATGCTTTGATTCAAGTGTGCCATTGTATTCATGTTTATTTTTTATTCTGTAAATGTATTTTGTTTATTAAATAAATGTTCACATAGAATAATATACAATCGGGGGTGGTAGGAGAAGAAAATATTCAAAAGCTTCCGGGGAGATCCTTGATTCTCGAGTTACGTTTATTGTCTTCTCTGAGGATGAGGGTCCCATCAGCTATAGAGGTGGTATTCCTATTTATATATATATATCTATATTATATATATATTATATATATAAATATATATATATGTATATATAAATGTCGTGCCGAATAGCAGAACTTGCATCTTGGCTTAAATTGAACGTTCATCTTGCCATATAGGACAAGCAGAAATTTGTGTATGCAATAATTTGCCAAAATCATTCTGACCTAAACGAAAAAAAAATGTTTCATTGTGTTTGTTTAGTATTAAATTATTGTTAAACAAATATAAATATATTTAGTTGGGTTAGGCTAAAATAATTGCGCTTGTTAACAAGGTTTAGGTAAGTTTTCTAAGTTTCTTTTGGTGCAAAATTAAAAAATTTTACATTAACATTAATTGAAACAAACATATATCTTTAAACGTATAAGAGAAAATTTTGGAAATTACTAATTTTAAATGAGTTCATGCTAATTGACCCGTTTTACATATTCGGCACGACATTATATATATCTATTTATATATATATATATATATATATATATCATATTATATATATATATATATATATATTATCTTTTTTTTTTTTAAATTTTTTAAATAAATAATCTGGGGGTGAAGAAAACACCCCATGGCCATTTCTCCCTTGCGGTAGGAACTTTGATGCAGGTTACGGTTCTTGATCTAAGAAATTGAAGCTCCCTTTCCTCATTTATCGGACAAACCTGATTATTTCCAATGCCCACAGGACTAAATGACCCACACGTGTCTGACTTAAAAACTATTACTCTGTAAAATTAATTAGAAGCCACCTCTACCACTTTCACCAACTGCCACCACCAACTGCGTCACCTATGCATCACCTATTACCAACACCTATTTACCACCACCTTCATCATGAATCGCTACATTTTTCACACGTACTTTCTATTACCAATGGTCTCTGGCACCAGAGTGAAGGTGATGAGATAGACTGCGCGGAGGCAGCTGAGACGCCGCTACTGCATCAGCTACGACCTGTCTTTGAATAGAGGTAGTGCAATGCCATGATCTTGAACAGGCTGAAGCCCGAATCCAGACACTTACACTCTAGGGTCGCCAGTGTATCCTGCTACCACAGCCATAACAGCCAGCATCCAGCATGCGTGTGCCGAATGGTTAGAGTGCAAGATACCTTCAGCAACCGGACGTCTCCTTTCACACTCCACCGCCGAGTCAGTACGACTGCGTGTCTCTGCACCTGAGGAGGTTGAAAGAACCGTTGATGCTGGATTGGATTGAACTGTAGCGTAACTGTTCGCTACAACTCGACAGCAAGTGTACTATAGTCCTGACAGCCAACTATTGCTACTAGAGACCAGTGCAGCCCCCACGCTACACAACACAACACCATGCTAAGGAAGCGCCCACCGGCAGCCGCCCTCCTGTATCCCTTAACCACCCACGATGCCAGCCCCCAGCACCAGAGTGAAGATGAGGACGCAGCCCGTACTCTACCCCCCACGCATCGCAGCCAGCACCAGAAGGAGATGTGGACGCCAGGTATTCACCCACGCATCGCCAGCCAGCCAACCTACGAGTGAAGTGGACTTTAGGGAACTGCATGCCGATGGGATTGAAGTACATGCGTCCTCATCTTCACTCTGGTGCTATGGCTGCACTTGCGCGGGTTAAGTACATGCGACTCATCTTCAGTTCTGTGCTGGGTACATGCGTGGGTATAAAGTACTGCGTTTTCATCTTCACTTGAGAGTGGCTGCATGGTGGGTTGTAAGTACATGCGTCTCAACTATCACTCCTCTAGGTGCTGGCCTCTGATGCGTGGGTAAGTACCTGCGTTCCTCTTCCCAAGGTTATGTAGCAATGATTGACCTACCAGTTAACACCAACACCTATAAAAACCCCTTAATAAACCACACCAACCCCCCCTACACAAACAACCAACCCACCCACCCCCCCCCCCACACCCCCCCCCCCCCAGGGGTACATACCCACGCATGCAGCCCAGCACAGGAGTGAAGATGGAAAACGACAGGTACTTACCCACGCATGTAGCCAGCCCCAGAATGAAAGATTGAGGGGGACGCATGGTACTAACCCGCGCATTGCAGCAGCACCAGAGTGAAGATGAGGACGCAGGTACTTACCACGAATTGCTGCCAGCAACAATTGACGCTGCGGACGCAGGTTAATTACCCACGCATGCAGCCAGGCACCAGAGTGAAGTGAGGACGCAGTACTTACCAGCATTCCCCAGCACCAGAGTGAAGAGAGGGACCGCGGCACTTACCAGCATGCAGCCATCTACAGAGTGAAGATGAGAGACGCAGTTACTTACCCACGCATGCAGCCAGCACCACAGAGTGAAGTGAGGAAGCAGCGATACTTCCACGCATTACAGCTAGCCCAGAGTGAAGATGAGAACGCAGGTACTTACCCACGCATGCAGCCAGCACCAGAGTGAAGGTGAGGACGCAGGTACTTACCCACGCATGCAGCCAGCACCAGAGTGAAGATGAGGAAGCAGGTAATTACCCACGCATGCAGCCAGCACCAGAGTGAAGGTGAGGAAGCAGGTAATTACCCACGCATGCAGCCAGCACCAGAGTGAAGGTGTGGACGCAGATACTTCCTCACGCATGCAGCCAGCACCAGAGTGAAGGTGAGGAAGCAGGTACTTACCCACGCATGCAGCCAGCACCAGAGTGAAGGTTAGGAAGCAGGTACTTACCCACGCATGCAGCCAGCATCAGAGTGAAGGTCAGGACGCAGGTACATACCCACGCATGCAGCCAGCACCAGAGTGAAGGTTAGGAAGCAGGTACTTACCCACGCATGCAGCCAGCATCAGAGTGAAGGTCAGGACGCAGGTACTTACCCACGCATGCAGCCAGCACCAGAGTGAAGGTCAGGACGCAGGTACTTACCCACGCATGCAGCCAGCACCAGAGTGAAGGTGAGAACGTAAGAGGCTTCAGAACCGCTGAAGTAGTCGTAGGTTCCGGCTTGTGTACAATGTTCAGTGTTCATGTCGGATACTTGAGGCAGATATCGACAGGTCTTTGAGATGTTACCCGGAAGCCTACACTGTGTAGTTGCACTCAGTACTCCATTACAGGAGACGCTCACAGCTGCGGAACATTAACACACGTTATTATGTTTTAACAATAATAAAACAAAAATAATGATAATGCTAAAACAGAAAGATAAAATAATAAGAGGGAAAATATAAACATTTCATAGAGAAGTTATTGAACATCATACTTCTTGCTCCTAGTACAAATAGCCTAAATGATCAAGGAGGCCTGGTCTGAGATCATGCTATGGGGTGATGGACCTAACCATCTACAGGTAAGACACTCCCCTCCCTATTAGTATGAAGTATCCCAGTGATTCTTATAATATTACAGGTATAGTATGTGACTGGGTTACACTCACTGTTTTCGTCATGAACTGCAGTGAAGGGATCCACTTGTATATCAACACCTGGCACCAGATTTGTCACTGATGCCAACACGTCAATCACTCTCAACTGCCGAATCCGATCTCTCTCCGCCTTCGTAAACAAACTGTGGGTAGTTTAGTAGTTTAGTATAACGATATTTCTGTGTACTGAGGAAAGTTCGTGTGTGTATGTGTATGTACTCACCTAGTTGTACTCACCTAGTTGAGGTTGCAGGGGTCGAGTCCAAGCTCCTGGCCCCGCCTCTTCACTGGTCGCTCCTAGGTCACTCTCCCTGAACCATGAGTTTATCGTCCCTCTTTTTTAAAACTATGTATGGCCCTGCCTCCATACATCGCCCCCAAACTTTTCCCCTTTCTAAACTACCTTGGCTGAAAAAATCTTCCTAAAATCCCTTTGATTCATCTGTGTCCTTCAGCTTCCAACTGTGCCCCCGTGTTGCTGTGTCCAGTCCTGAAACACCTGTCTTTGTCCACATTGTAAATTCCCCTTCAGTATTTTTGTAATCGTTATCATGTCCCCCTATCTCTCCTGTCCTCCAGTGTCGTCAGGTTGTTTTCCCTTAACCTCTCCTCATAGGACATACCTCTTAACTCTGGGACTAGTCTTGTTGCAAACCTTTGCATTTCTCTATTTTCTTTACATGCTTGGAGGTGTGGGTTCCAAAGGGGTGCCGCAAAAACCCAATTGGGCCAAACGTACAGGGTGTACGGGGTCCTGAATGATTCCTTTTTAAGATGTCGGAATGCGTTCTGAGGTTTGCTGGGGCCCCCATATGCGCGGCAGTCATTTGGGTTTTTGATGTGCGCTTCGGAGATGTGCCGGGTGTTATACCACCCCAAGATTTTTTTCCTTGAGTGATGTTTGAAGTCTCGGGCCCCCTCATACTTTGCACTTGGGGTGGGATTGAACCAAAGGAGCCAGTTGCTGGACAGGTCGCCCTTCCAGACCCCTTGTATTTCTGCCGGTTTTCGATCAAATGAACCTTTTCCATAAACTTCACGTCATCTAAAACAGGGACACCTGGGAGTTTAATCTTCCGTCTGTCGTTACAAATACCAAAACAGCACGGGTCCTGGGACTGCCCCCTGTACCCCGCTGGTCACAGGTGCCCACTCGACACCCGCCACGTACCATTACTCGCTGCTGTTTTCCCTGCAAATATTCCCTATCCATTGCATGCTTCCCTGTTACCCTGCTTGTCCTTTTTTGCACAAAATCTCTTGTGGGTACGGTCAAACGCCTTCTTGCGTCAAGAAAATGAATCCCCCCCCCCCCTCTCCCTTGCTTCTGCTGTCCCTGTCATAGAACCCCCGTGGGTTTGTGACACAGGATTTTCCCGTTCTGAAACCATTTTGGCGCTGGTGGGGAATCATTCCTTTCTAGATGTTCCACCATTCTTCTCCTGACAATTTTTTCCACGATTTTTTGCATGCTATCAGTCAGTGACACGGGTCTGTGTTTTTAGTGCTTTCATGTCGCCCCTTTTTTTAAAGTTTGGGCCCACATTTGCTGTCTTCCATGCCTCAGGCAATCTCCCTTTTTCGATAGATGTATTAATATTGTTGTTAGGGTACACATAGCGCCTCTGCTCCCTCTCTCAGGACCCATGGAGAGATGTTATCTGGCCCCATTGCCTTTGAGGTATCTAGCTACCAAAGCCCTTCACTTCTTCCTGGGTTGTGTGTATGGTCCAGCACTGGGGTGTACCCCACCTCTCCGTCTTTCTGAAGCCCCTTCTGTCTCCTCTGTGAACATTCTTTGAACTCTTGTTGAGTTCCTCACATACTCCATGGTCTTTTCCTGTTGTTCTCCCTCCTTCCTTCCTTACCCTGATTACCGGGTCCTTGAGGGTTTTTTCTTCCTGAGTGGCTGTAAAAACAGCTTGGGGTCAGATTTGGCTTTTGCATTTCTTTTCAATTGAGTGGGGTCCCTTCTTTCTGTGCATATTTGTTTCTGGCTCTAGATGTCTTTATTCTCCTGGGGCCTTTGCCTTCTATATTTCTTTTTCCCTTCCCAGCCACTTGGTTTTTTTCCTCCTTTCATTTTGGGTGAACCCGGGCTATCCGGCTTTTCCATTATTTTCCCGTTTTCCCTTGGGGGACAAAAACCCTCCTCAGCCCCCTTGCACATTGTTGTAATTTTCCTCATTCCCTTAACTGCTTCCCTGCCAGTTCTTTTCCCCGAACCTCTTCAAGGGAAATTTTCCTTTCCGTGTATTTCCCCCTTTCCTGTAGTTTGGTTTTAAATTTTTCCTGGCCTTTCCCGTTTTCCCCCCCACTTGTACTTAATGTTATTCGAAGCTCAAAACCAAGATCGCGGCCCCAAGGGGTCTTTTATATGGATGTCCTCAAAAGTCTGCACTACTCAAGGTGAATACTAACCAGTCTTTTGGTTTATCCTCTCCTCTCCTCTGTAGTTCCCTTTTTGTTGGTACAGAATTTTTCCCGTACACCTCCATCATCTTAGCCCTTATGTATCTTGGCCCCCAGTGGCTAATTTCCCCCAATCGACTCCTTGGTTAAAGTCGCCCCGATCAGGAGCTTTGCCCCGCATCTAGCCTTTTTCGCCATGGGGAAACCGTTGTCAACCATCGCTCATTTCCTGTCGTACTCTTGCCTTGGCCTCCCGCGTTCTGTGGTGGGTTTTAAAACACTGCAATTAACCTTGGGACCACCAGAGTGAAAACGTTCCCCCAGTAATCACTTTCTTTCCCCTGTCTCCTCCTCCAGCCCAAAATTCCATCTTATTTGTCAGCAAAGCCACTCCCCCCACCCCCTCCCCTGTCCCTTTTGTCTTTTTTCAGAATTGGTTCCCCCTGAAAGTGGCATCCCGTTATCTTTAAAACCCGTAAATTTTGGGTTTTTGGTCGCTATTTTTCTGGGGGATGCCTCTTTGCTCTTTCGTGCCATCCTCCCACTTTTTTGTTATTTTACAGCATTTGTGTACCAACCTTCTTTTTTTTTCCAACACTGGGTTTGGGGGGGGCCTGTGGGGGGGGAGACCTGGTAGCTACTGTGGGATTCATGGGTTTGGGGGGTTGGGTGGAACTTGGGTATGGATTGTATTGTGTGTTGGGATGGTGGATAGGTTTTGGGTTTTGAGGATAGTTTTTTGTGTGCTTTGGGGCTTGCTGCTTGTTCTGCCTGACTACCTTGGGTTTTCCCTCTTGTCTCCTTTCCTAGCCCCTTTCGCTTTTTTTTTTCCTCTCCCTCACGATGTCTCCTGTTTTGTTCTGTCTCTGTCTAGGGGAAAACCCCTTGTACTCTTCCCAGCTTTTCAACCCGGTTTTTTCTTGGGGGCCTGTTCCCCAGGTTTCTGTCCTGAAATCAGCTTGATCGGTCTGCTTTTTCTCCCCCCAAGTACCCCCCCATTCTCTAAAAATTTACAATCTCATTCCCTGTCTTCTCCCCCAATTTTCCCTTGAAATTTTCCAAAACCCTTTCTTTCTTCCTGCCGCTTTTATTTTGTTCTTTCCCCTCTCTCCCAAAGCCCATGGATAATCACTGATTTGCCCCTTTTCCCTTTTCCCTTTTCCCTTCCCCCGTGACTCTGGTTCCCTTCTGTATGGGTCATTTTCTTCCTTGATTTTTTTGTGGCTCTTGGTACTGGTTGGCCTCAGAATTCACCTATCTCCTCTTTCCCTCTGCACCCATCGCTCTTCCCTTCCACTCCCTGGCCCTTCTTTTCAGGTGATATGCCCTTTGCATAGTGCATATCTCCTTCCTTCCTGTTCAGCTCTCTCTTTGTATGGTGGTCTTCTCTGGTCACTGCCCCCCGAGACTTTGTTCAGCCTGTTTCCCCCAAATTCAGGACCTTTACCCTGGTATTTCAGTTTCGACTTGTGCCCCCAATTTTTTCGTCTCCTTCCCCAACCTCCTTTTTTCCCCTTTACGAGAGCCTTTCTCCATTTTTTCAGAAAGCTCCCAAATTTTTTCTCCCATTCTTGCTCTATCCTTTCCACTGTTCCTCCATCCTTCCTCCCTACCAGTACCATTGTCATCTGATCCTGATTTCCCGCGAGTCCCCAAACCCTTTTTTTTTTTTTTTGTGAAAGAGAGAAAAGAAAAAAGAAAAAGGGGGAAAAGTGAGAGATAGGGAGAGAGAGAAGGGGGCCTAGAAGGGGGGGAAAAGAAAGGGAAAAAGGGGGGGGGAATGAAGGGGAAAAGGTAAAGAGAGGGGGGATGAAAAGGGGAGAGAGAGAGAGATAAAAGAAGAAGAAGAGAGAGCAAAAGAGGAAAAGAGGGGGGAAGGGAAGAGGGAAAGATAAGGAAGAGAGAGAGGATTTGAGAAAGGGGGGGGGGAGAAAAAAGAGAGAGAGAGAGGAGAGAGAAAGAGAGAAAAAAGAGATGGGGGAAAAATTTTTAAAGGGTCACTTCTCAGGAAGGTGTAAAATCCTGATAGTGGTGGTGTGTGTGATATGTGGTGTGGGGGTGGGTGTGCTACACTATTCAAGCCCCCTAACAGCAGAGCTGCCCTCACCTAGTTGTGGGATATTTTTAATGAAAACAGTCCTTTTTTTCCCACGTATGACTACATATGTAGAAATTTGTACCCCAAAAAAAAAACTCTTTGGTTCCCATTTTTGCTGTTTTATGCTTTTTAAAAATTATGTTCAAAAATAATACACAGGCTTTCCCTATTATCCGCTACCTTAAAATTCTTTTAAAATCCCAGTAAATGCGTTATTCTAATTCTGATGCTAAAGGGAGGGGACCCCCAAAATTCCGCTGAGACAGGGACTATTGAACCCCATGCAACTCAAACAGGTGAATATTCTTCGGCTGGCAGTGGAGAAACGTTTCCGTCTGTCCCGGGGCCAAAGTTGAAAAGTTTGATGCTTCCGTAATTTTCCCCCTAAATTTCCTTATGCTCTATAGTCCCCCATCTTTTATTTTTTTTCCTCACTGAAATTTTCTGGGCACATCTAAAATATCTCTTTTCTCCCCGGTCTTGAGCACACTTTTCTTCAAAATACCCCACTGCATTTTTATGGGCCACTTTTTAGGCCTACACAACCGTTCACCCTTCCAACGCCCTCACTAAACACTCGCCAAAATTTCCTTTGTTTTTTTTCTTGAACTTATATTTTCCTTTTTTTGGGGCTTAATGATTACATGCACTTTTATGCGTGCACACCCCCCTATATCCCACAATCTATTCCTTATGGCACAGTCAGAAATTACCACCAAAACACGAGCTCAAACCGCGTAACTCCTCCACGAGTGTGTGTGTGTGTGTGTGTGTGTGTGTGTGTGTGTGTGTGTGTGTGTGTTGGGGTGTGTGGTTTGTGTGGTGTTGTGTGTATGTGTGTTTGGTGTGGTGGTGTCTTCTATAAACTTCAGTGAAATACTTTTTTGATTGAACAAGCGTGTCTCAATATTTGGGTATAACTTTTTTTTATGGAAATTAAATAAAAATATATAAAACAAACAAAATTAATTATAACTGCACAGCAAATTATTACAATTCACTCATGTTCCCCTTCAAAATATGTTCACCAACCCCTGAGGGTATGCGTACCCAAGTCTGGGAATCTCCCTGATATAAATAAACAGTTATATAAACAAATTATTCAAGCAGAAAGTTAAACCAAGAAAACAAATGCAAACAAAAAAGTATATGATCATGAACGGTTCAAAACTTCTATCAGAGAGAATGTGAGTACAGGGTATACTAACTTGTTTCCGGAGTTCTCAAACCAGAAGCGATCTCCATCCCGTATACGCTGAAACTGGTCCACGATGACTCTATGGACACAAGAAATGACTTAAACAGAAACGTCCACTTGAGATACACCTCCTGTCAATCATATTCTCTTATATTCTCTCCTCTCTCTCTCTCTCCTCCTCTCGCTCTCCCTCTCTCTCTCTCTCTCTCTCTCCTCTCTCTCTCACACACACACACACACACACACACACACACACACACACACACAATTTTTAAAAAGGAGACAGACATGAGGCACTAAACTACAGACCTGTATCACTAACGTGTATAGTATGGCAAGGTCATGGAGAAGATCATCAGGAGAGAGTGGTGGAGCACCTGGAAAGAAACAAGTGTATAATTGACAACCAGCACGGTTTCAGGGAAGGAAAACCTGTGTCACAAACCTACTAGAGTTTTATGACAAGGTGACAGAAGTAAGACAAGAGAGAGAGGGATGGATCGACTGCATTTTTTGGACTGCAAGAAGGCCTTCGACACAGTTCCTCACAAGAGGTTACTGCAAAAGCTAGAGGATCAGGCACACATAACAGGAAAGGCACTGCAATGGATCAGAGAATACCTGACAGGGAGGCAACAACGAGTCATGGTACGTGACGAGTGTCAGAGGGGGCGCTTGTGACAAGCGGGGTTCCACAGGGTCAGTCCTAGGACCTGTGCTGTTCTTGGTATATGTGAACGACATAACGGAAGGGATAGACTCAGAAGTGTCCTTGTTTGCAGATGATGTGAAGTTAATGAGAAGAATCAAATCGATGAGGATCAGGCAGGACTAACAAAGAGACCTGACAGGCTACAAGCCTGGTCCAGCAACTGGCTCCTTGAGTTTAACACTGCCAAATGCAAAGTCATGAAGATTGGGGAAGGGCAAAGAAGACTGCAGACACAATATAGTTTAGATGGCCAAAGACTGCAAACCTCACTCAAGGAAAAAGATCTGGGGTGAGTATAACACCGAGCATATCTCCTGAGGCGCACATCAATCAGATAACTGCTGCAGCATACGGGCGCCTGGCAAACCTACGGATAGCGTTCCGATACCTCAGTAAGGAGTCGTTCAAGACTCTGTATACCATTTACGTCAGGCCCATACTGGAGTATGCAGCACCAGTTTGGAATCCACACCTAGTCAAGCACGTCAAGAAATTAGAGAAAGTGCAAAGGTTTGCAACAAGGCTAGTCCCAGAGCTACGGGGATTGTCCTACGAAGAAAGGTTGAGGGAAATCGGCCTGACGACACTGGAGGACAGGAGGGTCAGGGGAGACATGATAACGACATATAAAATACTGCGCCGAATAGACAAGGTGGACAAAGACGGGATGTTTCCAGAGATGGGACACAGACACAAGAGGTCACAATTGGAAGTTGAAGACTCAGATGAATCAAAGGGATGTTAGGAAGTATTTCTTCAATCATAGAGTAGTCAGACAGTGGAATAGCCTAGAAAGTGACGTAGTGGAGGCGGGAACCATACATAGTTTTAAGGCGAGGTAATGATGAAGCTCATGGGGCAGGGAGAGAGAGGACCTAGTAGCAATCACGAAGAGAGCGGGGGCCAGGAGCTATGACTCGAACCCCTGCAACCACAAATAGGTGAGTACAAATAGGTGAGTACACGCACACACACACACTCACACACACACACACACACACACACACACACACACACACACACAAACTTACCTGGAAAATAGCTGTCCTGGTCTGTAGTAGTCTCCAGTAAGACCTCCGGCCCATATATCAACCTTATTGGGATCATTGTCATAAACCATAGAGAGGTTCCTAATCACCTGTTTGGGTAAGATTTTGAAGTTATAACAGACTTTTTTTTAGACTAATGAATTTTTCATGTGAAAAATAACTAATTCCGCGTATAATTATAATTATTAGTAGTACTAATAGTAGTAGCAGCAGTAGTAGTAATAGATTCATATGGAAGTGACGAAATCGAGGAAGTCATACAGTACCTCAGGAACTGAAGGTAAAGAGGTCAGATCCTGTCTAGTTTTACTGGCTGATATATGAAAGTGTAAGTTTGCGTGTTAATAATCAATTGTTAGATTTTCTTTTGCTGCTGGAATAAAGTGATGAAAAAGAGACACCAAACAGTGTCAGGCTTTATAAAGAAGCTTCATTCCTGGAAAGCTTCATGAAGTTATGACAATAAAACTTCCATGAACGAGACACTGCAATAAAGAATTTGGCTGTATTATGTTGCATTTTCACCCACTTAGTTAAAAATCTCTCATACTTACTGGAATAAACGTATACTAGTGGTGTGCCAATGTTTGACTGACAGGTGTAGTTAAGCAAAGTTTGCAGAGTGAGGCGTCATCTGTAGATAATCCATGTAACTGTATTTGTCTCTGTCATCTCAGTATCTTATACGAGTGCTCTTGAACCTTCCTCGAGCGGTCACACTTGCGATGCTTTCTGAAGAACTGGGACACCCTGTTTTCAGGTAAGCTGAACTTGACTTACTCGCAGGCATCAGAACACAAGAAAATCGCCACCTATCCTTGGTACCACAAGCAAGAGATTGCTACTTTGGCGAGCCTCTCACAGTCATCCTTGGCCACTGTGCCCACACAGACACACAGTGCCACACGTGCCCACACAGACACACAGTGCCCACACTGTGCCCCACAACAGACACACAGTGCCCACACTGTGCCCACACAGACACACAGTGCCCACACTGTGCCCACACAGACACACAGTGCCCACACGTGCCCACACAGACACACAGTGCCCACACAAGACACACAGTGCCCATACAGACACACAGTGCCCCACACAGACACACAGTGCCCACAGACAGACACACAGTGCCCACACAGACACACAGTGCCCACACAGACACACAGTGCCCACACAGACACAGTGCCCACACAGACACACAGTGCCCACACAGACACAGTGCCCGCACAGACACACAGTGCCCACACAGACACACAGTGCCCACGCAGACACACAGTGCCCACACACACACACAGTGCCCACACACACACACAGTGCCCACACAGACACACAGTGCCCACACAGACACACAGTGCCCACACAGACACACAGTGCCCACACAGACACACAGTGGCCTACACAGACACACAGAGCCCACACAGACACACACAGTGCCCACACAGACACACACTGCCCACACAGACACACAGTGCCTACACAGACAGTGCCCCACACAGACACACAGTGCCTACACAGACACACAGTGCCCACACAGACACACAGTGCCCACACAGACAAACAGTGCCTACACAGACACACAGTGCCTACACAGACCCCCAAGTGCTTCAAAACACCCAGTGCCCACACAGACACACAGTGCCCACCAACCACAGTCCCCACCAGACACACAGTGCCCACACGACACACAGTGCCCACACAGACAACGTGCCACACAGCCACAGTGCCCAAAACAGACACACAGTGCCCACACAGACACACGTGCCCACACAGACACACAGTGCCCCCAGACCACATGCCCACACAGACCACAGTCCTACACAGACACACATGCTACACAACACACAGTGCCCACACAGCACAGTGCCCCAAAAAACCACACAGTGCCCCACAGAAAAACCAGTGCCCACACAAACAGTGCCCCACAGACACACCCACTGCAACACCACACTGCACACACACACTGCACACACACACACACCACACCACACACACCACCCCTGCAACCCCACACACACAAAAACGCACCACACACACTGCACACACACACAACAACACACACACACGTGAAGCAGATCGCTAAATAGGCCCCGGATTTGCGTTCTAGGGGCTGTCCAAGATTTTTTAAAGCGGTCATCGACTGAGTGAATCAGAACATACCTACAAACTGTAAAAAGCTTTCAAGGTGGAATAATGTGGGGAATCAAGAATTTTAAAATTTTTAAATTTTTGGAAAGAAATTTGAGTGAGGGGGGGTCAGTCAGCTGATAGGCTACTGCCGCAGTTTTTGACAAAATATCCAAAACATTAATTGGGTTAAAAGGGTGTTACTGAAATATTAACAAATACATATTTGGTTGATTATAGCGGGGGGGGCAAATTTTTGTAGTGATAAGGCAAAAAGGTGATTGTAAATATGAAAGTAAAAAATTTTAGTCAATCCCCAGCTGTTGGTGTTGTGAATGTACCAACACATCAACTTTTTATGACCCATAATACTGTACTAAAAAAAAAGAGGGAATCCCCAATTTAAAAGAAAAAAAAAAAAAAATTAATGCATGATAAAGTTCCTGAAGGAGTTACAAAATTAAAGGGAGTTGATAGACGACCAGCGGGAACCTCCATTGTTGTGCGGGGACGACATCACTTGCCTTTTGTGGTTAATTTTGGTTATTTTCAAAAGTCTCAAGTGCTCGCCCTGCTGGTTTATGCTATCCATCTCTCTCTCCCATTTCAGTCCCAGGAGAAATAGTGTTAGAAAAATTACTAAATATGCCAGGTAAATCCAGAAGGTTTTTTAGCCTAGTGAACCCCCCCCCCCTTTTTTCTGAGGGAAAAGCTAGAAAACAAGACGCACATACAAACGCACGGTGCACCCGTAATTATTGTTATATAAACTTAGTATTAATAATAAGGAATTGAGTGAAAAAAAATAATCCTTAATTTTCAAAAAGTAAAGTAGCCTGTGTGGGAGACTGGGCCGGGAGGTACCGGTGAACCAACAACAATAACAAATAGTGAACGTGACCCCCCCCCCTTTTTCAAAGAACGAAAAGCTAGAAAACACACACACACACACACAAACACAAGTGTAGAAATTAAAAATATATAGTAATTTTAGTGCATATAATAAGGAATGATTTAAAATTTTTTTTTTAAAATCTTCAAAAGAGTAGCGAGCCTAGTGGCGCCGAAACCCCCACACCCAAAACCACCCCCACACACACCAAAACCCCCACCCACACACACCCACACACACCCCCACACACACCCACCCAAACCCACCCAACCCACCCACACACCCACCCCACACCCACCCACCCCCCCCACACACACCCCCACCACACCCCCCACACACCCCCAAAACCACCCCACACACACCCCCACACACCCCCCACACACCCCCCACACCCCCCCACACACACACCCAACAAACCACACACCCACCCACCACCCACCCACACCCCCCCAGCACCCCCCCCCCCCCCCCCACACACACACGCAACACACACACACCACCACACACACCCCACCACACCCACACACAACCACACACACACACCAATTGCCGACTCACACATCCTTTCCCCCCCCCCCCACCGACATCTCACTCCTTCCCCTATCCCCCCCCCCTCTCCCTCACCCACTTACCCACTTTGCTTCACCTCCTTCCCACTCCCCCCCCCATACTCCCCATATACCACGTTCCTCCTTTCTACCCCCCCCCCCCCCAACTCTGACATTACAAACACCTAACATACAAATTACATGGGGTTTCCCACTCTGAGGCAATCGGGATAAAAAAAAAAAATGGGTTTTGCCAGGGCAACAAGAAAACCCAAGGGACGGGAGGAGGAAACTGAAAAGGGAAGATTGGGCAGCAGAGCTCAAAAAAAGGGGAACAAGAAGGGAAAAAAAACAGAAGAACTTACTGAGAAGGGAAGAGAGAAACATGGAAAGCAGGAATTGGGAGGTGAAAATTCCAAACCCAAAGAGGCCAGGATACAGAGTTTAGAAGGGAACTGGAAAATTAAACAGCCTAAAAAAATAAAGAAATTTGGGATTGACAACAGAACCGCTACCTCAGCCACAAATAAGGGGACTGTGGGGAAAGGGAGGAGCAAAACTGCATGTAAAGCTCTATCAGTGAGACTGTAGTAAATAAAGAGCTAAAAAATTTGTGGAGCCCTAAAAGCCACAACAGAGCCCGGGGAAAAAACCCGGGAAAAGGGGAAAATGACGGGCCACTGACCCTGTACAGTAGTTGAAACTGAAAAAAGGGAAAAAGTGCAATGGGGGGAAATCAAATTGAATAGGGATACACAGGGATAGCAGGGGAATAAAAGGGGTGAGGTCATTTTTGTGTAGGGGCTACGGGTTTTTAAAGGGGGAAACATATGAAGCAAAAAACAAGGGGAAAAAAAGGAAATTAAAAAACATCATGAAAGTAATCGAAGAGACATGACCCAGCGGAAAATTTTCGGAGAATGGGGGGGTTTGTAAAAAAAAAGAACCCGCCAGTGAAAGTGACCTTAAAGGGCAGAATCGATGGAAAAAGGATAGCAGGAAAAAGCACTTTTAAGGCATCCGTATACAGGAAGGTTATCTCGCCCGCGACAGAACCAAGACGAAAAGGCGGGGAAAATGAGAGAGAGATACAAAGGCGAAAGGAGGAAAGAGAGGGGAGGGGGGAAGACAACAGGAGATTTCAACACAGGAAAAAGATCAAATACAACCCCCCTTACAGCTTCCTATAGAAGCCTCCCAACCATCCCAAACCCCAGTGCAGCCAAACCCTAAACCAAAAAACCCATTCCATATCCAATGCCCCCCCCCCACTACAACAAACCCCCCCCCCACGCAACCCCCCCAAAGTTCCTTATCAGGTCCCCACTTTCCCCAACCCCAATAACCTCCCAACCACAGTCTTAGAAAAGAAGTTGAAGGTATGGTATACAAATGCGATGGAATAACAAATAAGTTGGGGTAACGAAAGAATAAGGAGACTCCCCAGACTAATAGCAACCCCAGAAACAAAACTCACCAGAATAATAACAAATTAATCTTTCCACCCGGAATCAAATCTTCAGAA